GCTTGGGGTCGACGAAACCACCTAAAGCCATCAACTAGGGTCTAGGGTGGCTCGGGGTTGACAAAACAACCTAAAGCCATAATTTTGGGTTTTGGTGGCTCGGGGTCGACGGAACCACCTAAATCCATCAACTTTGGTCTAGGGTAGCAAGGGGTTGACGAAACCACCTAAAGCCATCAACTTTGTAACATAACAAACTATTCCTTTTGCAAATGCATTTAAGAATTTAAGCATCACTCTAACATATGTAACTATTCCTTTTGCAAATGCATTTAAGCATTTAACCATCAGTATAACATAAGCATCAGTATGTCATCATTTTCAGTCTAACATAAGCATCACTATGTCATCATTTTCAGTCTAACATTGAAAGCAAACAATACTAACTGGAGTTCAACACATTATAGGAATACACAACCATTGTTCACATTACATAGTGGAGTTCAAATGCACAATCCATCATTTTCTCACAAAAGGATGAATAGCATAACTACTAGGTACATAAACAGCCAGAGTTCACAATTAGTACTAGAACCATATATTACACAACCATAATTCTAAGTTACTAGGTCATTGCAGAACCATCCTTCCCAAAAGGTCTGCAATGCCCACTAATCTCAATTCATCTTGTTCAGTTCTGCAAGATGGCCTGGATCCCCTTGATCTTCTCCTTCAGCTTCTCCTGTGCCTTCATGATCTCAGCAAGCTTAAACTCTTGCATCTGCTTCTCTTCATTATAGTTTTCCTTGAGCTTCAGCAGATCAACAACCTGGAACTTGAACTCTAGCTTCTCTTGGGTGAGCTTCTCCTCAAACTATGTGAACTCTGCATTCTTCAACTCCAAATTCATCCTAGCCTCGCTCAGCATTTCCTTCTCTTTCATATCTTCAACTTCAGGTTTTGGATGACAGTTGCTTGAGCACTTGTCAGGTTGCACAAGATTTCATATCTCTGTTGAAGCTTCTCTGTAGCTGCATCTTTCTTTGCCATTTCTGCCTTCATACCAGCAACCAACTCAGCTCTGCATTCCTGCTGATATGTGATGTTGGACTGCAGATAACTGAAATCCACAACCCTATCCTCCTGCATATCCACAAGTTGATGCACATCTTTCACCAACTTATCATAGTCTGCATCCAGCTTGTTCTTTTCTTCTGTCAACTGGTAAATAGTTAAAGCACTTTTAAGATTATCATTCACCCTAGCACACTTGCTCTCTTCAACCATTGACCAAAGCTTCAACAATGCATTCTCCATTGTTGGGGGCCACTGCTCATCAACCCATTGAACAAACCCACAATTCTGACCTTCCTGGGAGAGGTGCAAGGGCAACATTTAGTACAATACAACTACTAAGAGTACTAAGCAACAGTTAGTTCATGGCATTACCTAATGTTGGCATTGTCATTAACTGAATTTGCACAACCATTTGCTAAACAACAGGAGCACATTGTAAAATAAATTAAAGTAATCCTACAATGGATGATCAATATATTTACCAGGCAGAAGAGTAACACTCCATTCAACTTAGCAGTTGCTAAGCAGCCATGTGCTAAGCAACAGCAGTTGCTAAAAATTGACCATTAATATAATGGAATCCTAAATGTGCACTACCATTACTAAGTACTCACCATTACTCCTACCATTGAGACAACCTACTGTCAACAGTAATAAGCAATACAATGTGAACTACTTTGCCCAGCTAAATACACAACACTAGCCTGCAGCAACAAACTAGGTAATGAGACTACCTACTGTCAGCAGTAATCAATAGTTACTAACTGGCTGCACTGAACTGAAATTGAGCAACACTGCATTTGGAAAGAAGTGTCAATAAATAGCATGTGCACACAACAAGAGCATATATTTTAGCACAAATGCAGTCCATTGAACTTAATAATGAGCATAACTGAATTTAGCATGCACATAATAATAGCATGTGCACACAACAGGCACATATGACTAGCAAATTTAGCATGCACATAACTGAACCACAGGTGGCAAACAAGACTCTGCCACTTTCAATGAACACATCCAGTGCTTAATCACCAAGGCAAGAAAAATACCAACTCTGCACATGCTAAGAACCTTCTCCCAGTCATTGTTCCTTCAAACGCAACAAGCCTCTCTGATGGCTTCCCATGCTTCTCGCAGAACGCCATCAGATCTAGCTCAAGGCCCTTGTAATCCGGGTCCTCAAGTGAGAAAGGCACCTGCATAGTCAAAAGCACAGCACGAGGACATAGCAAATCAAACGAAATCCTCACAAAAATCCCCAAATTTCCTAAACCTAACCCTAACCCTAGCTCAAATGGAGTAACTTACCTCGTTCAGCCCATCGGTGGAGGTTTCAGAGTACATGTACGGGAGGCTTCAGTTGTCATCGCTGCTCTCGTCCTCCAGAACCATGGCTGTGGCGGCGTGGTGTGGCGGTCGGCGGTGGCGGGCGCAGGCGACGGCGAGGCAGAGAGCAGAAGAAAGGAAGAAGAAGGCGAGCGGGGTTGGGGTCGGGGTCTGGCTCGGTTGCACCAGCGAGACTATAAAGGTGCGAGCCGGCCTCGTCCTAGTCAGCGCCCAGTCAGCGCGCAGGCACGCGTGCACTGGCCAGCGTGGCACCTGACGGGCGGGCCCAACCAGTCAGTTTCTCTGTCAATACGTATAAAACGCATTTTTAGTCTTTTTTGCAACGGCTCGCCCCAATCTTGGTACTGACACGTAAAAATTATCAATCTTGGTACCAATCTGCTTCCAATGCCCCAATTGTGATACTTCTGTGCAATTTACTCGTGGTGGTATGATATATGAAAACTTATCATATATTTTTTGCTAGCATTTTAGTTTGCCTTGTGAATTCCTTTGGCTGAGAGGGCGCCGTCTTGGTGTGTCATCTTTTTTTCTTTTGAGGGCCCATGCTAGTGTTGTGCATAGGTTTCTTTTCACGACATCAAAAGCTTGGTAGTTATGGTCATTGATGATCACGTTGTAGTTGCTGCAAATGTAGTGCACGGCTGCTTGGGCAGCATTTTCTTCTACTACCATGTTCATGTGTATGGACGAGTCTTTTTTTCTTTTTGAGCAAAACGGATGGGTCTATATAATAGGATGGAATGTGTAAATGTTTATTCCCGCCCTTCTAGAGATTTTAGCATGATGTTCTTCAGGCCACGTATAATTGGGTCTATATATATAATGTCTGAGCCCAGGATCATATGCTCCTGATGATCAATAAATTCAAAACAATAGCAAAAGGAAAAACTGAATGTTGTTGGCATCAGAGATGCCAGGATGCCTGAAAAACTTCGTGGTGTTTGGACATCCGAGGAGGTCGTGGCAGAAGAACAAAATCAGGTTTAAGCAGTGCATTTTTTTCAAAGTTTCTTTGAGCACCATTTTTTTTGCCACAACCTCTTCAAATCTCCAAACACCATGAAAATTTGCACTCACATTGTGCACCCAAACATCTTAGATACGAGTAATGCTACACATACATAAGTTTACACGGATTTTACAAAAAAGGTGGGTTTTGATTGGAGATTGGGGGAGAAGGGGCCCACCCCCATGAAAATCGGGGGGAGTGGATAGTTAGAAAGAAAAAATCCTAGTCAACGTGTAATTTCGTGTAACTTTTTGTATGTTTAGCATTATTGCTTGGATACCAACAAGGTTTAGATATTTTTGACTTTATTTTCCCTATTTTTTCTGACTTTAATGATCATGGGCAGGAGCGGCTGAGTCCGGGCTACGAATCACTCTAACCAGAGGCACAAATGTGTACATGCTTATTCATGTTGAATGTGTACATGCTTATTCATGTCCTGAAATCAGAGGCACAAATACTTGCTTCCTTTCTGTCACTTTGTTAATAGGTTATTCCAAATAGATATTAAACTATGCACGTTTTGACAAAGGCAATGGCGCGAAAACTTCCAAAAAAGGAAAGATATGCAGTTCCTTGACAGGTCATTTTGTAGCAGTGATCTTACACAAGATTTGATTGAATGGTGGTAAAGTGATTTGAAGATATGTTTATTGAAAACAAGTCATCTGGTATGAAAAGAATGGGTTTGCGACAATCACGTGTAGTGAAGAAAAAAAAAGGACATTTACATTTGTTTCCAAAGAGAATAAAAAGAATCCTTTATAGTTAGAATGAATTAAAAGAATATTTTACAAAAGGACAATGAGTTCACAACTCATAACATCAATCTCATTCATCAATAGGGTTTTTTGTTCACCCTCCGACAGATGTTCCTAATCTCCCCAGCCCTTCCAGTCATCGGGCTTATGTTCCCCATTTTGACCATCGAGGCTGCGAAATTCTTGAAGAAGTCCTTCTGGCTACCGGAGAACCTGTGAACGATCGGCGCGGTGGTCGTGGCGGCGACAGGGTCGGACAACATTACCTGGTCTGAAGGGAGAGGGGCGCGGCCGTGCAAGAGGTTGCCATAGTACTTGTTGTCGAAGACATCAGGGGTAACTGTGTCGAGGTTCACCAGCGTCTCCCCGTCCTGCCCGGCACTGCAGTTCTGCTGTGTGAATTGGCATTGTGCCCGCCCAAAGGTGTGCGCTCCTTGGAGGGCGACAAGGTCAGTGTCGTCGAGGCCCAAGTTTCTGAACTTCTCCTGGAGCATCTGCAGAGAGTCGAAGGGGCTTGGGAGATTGTTGGCGCTCTCAACATTGGTGGTCGTGCCATCACGGCGGCCCAATGGCACACTCCAGCGAGGCCCTCCAGCTAGCTCGACTGAGATCTCGGAGGCGAGGGCGAGAATGTCGGCACAAGACACGATGCCGGGGCACGCATTCTCCAGTGCATGCTTGATGTCGTCAACCACATCAAACCCGCGCGCTGACCTGTTGTTGGCAGGGACCTCCTTCTCGGTCATGATCGCCGGGAGGTCGTTGTCCAGCAAAAGTGAGCCATCACAACCCTGAACAAAGCAGTCGTGGAAGTGGAGGCGGATGAGGCTGGCTGGGATGCGTGCGTCGGCGACACGGGCATTCTGGATGACGCGCCGGACAATGTCATGTGCACTGGGGCACGAGTCATCGTAAAAGGACGAGCTCAACCTAGCACCGGCACCGACATGACCATTGGCTCCATGGCTCAGCGCTAGGACCAGCGCTGCCGTGAGCAGGAGGCTGCAGCGAGCAGCCAACGGGAAACAAGAGGAAACGGCCATGTGCACTACTGCACGTTTGCCACTGATGGATGGATTGGCAAGTTAGCTGCTACTAGAAGGGAACATGTTAGAGTTGTGTCGAATATTGTGTACAAGGTAGGTTACAGTTGGACTTGTAGTTGTATCGTGTTTACATAGGATGTGGAGTCATGTCCTAGTAGGACACTTGTATCCTAGGCCTCTCATATATAGCGGGGGTAGACACACGATGTAACATATGCCAACATAATAGCACAGACGCGCAAGGAGGAGCCGGCAGCATGTGCCGGCGCCCGGGTGGCCGGTGTGCGGTATTGTGACGGTGTCACGGGGAGGAGCGCCCGTAGTCAGGCCCCGGGGATATAGCCATATCGATGAACCTCATTAATAAATCTCGGTGTCGGGCTCGTGTGATTGCTTGGTCCTCGGATGATCGACAGTATGCCTCGGATTTATTCCAACAAGTGGTATCAGAGCTAACTTTTTCAGAGATGAATCGTTGATCTAGAGGAAAAGCCGAAAGAAATCGTCGAGAAAATCACAGGAGCGGCTGTCAGAACAGCAGGGCGATCGTACCGTGGGTTCCGCGGACGAGGTGATTGAGCGACTGAAGATTTTGCGGCAAAGTAGCGATCAAAGGCGGCGTCGGCGGCTGCGTACAGATCGATTCAGTCGGATCGATCCGGAGGTGGTGCTCTATGCGAGACGGACCAGGCTGGCAAAAAAAGGCGTACTGACGAAGTGCGTGCGCGGCGTACTCGCGGGATTAATCCTGTGTGGGTAGGACGGCGCGTGTGGCTGGCCTGTTCGATGGTGGCACAGGCGTACGGGGGCTGGAGCTGAATTACACGTGTTGGTACGGAGGGCTCAGCCAGAAGCCAAATGCATGCGTACAGCTAGCAAGCCGCGGATTTGTTTTGGAAAAAAAGACCGGGTCCTCGTGTACGACATGGAAGGAGGCAGCAGCAGATCAAATTGAGCGAAGGAACAATTCATTGATACATCCATCAGGAGGGCTGAGGCAAGGCAAAAGCTAGCATCGTGGGTGAGCCAAGGGATTATTTTTCATGGAGTCAGCCGTACAAAGAACCATGTCTCCAACGGGTACCAGGTTTGAGGTGTAGAAGTTCACGGAATTGAAAACCCTGGAGTTATGACAGATATGGATGAAAAATTTGTTGGCACAACATGGATGCTTGAAGGCGTTGCGGGAAGTCAATTCAGCTAGGATGGAGTTGTGTTGTGATGGATGAAAATTCGCGGAAGACAATTTGGGAGCCTCGAGTGTGTCGTATAGCCGGACAAGTTCGGTTGGGTCGGACTAGATAGTCTGACGGATCGACGTGAGTCGGTTGGTACAGAAGAGGGTGGTAGGATCGGCGACGATGACATAGGAGCGTGATGCTGATGGTGACCGACTTCTGGGGCGTGGAAACACGTGGCGCATGCCCGAGGGCTTGTGCGGCTTCAACAAGACTATGGCACGGGGTTGATTCAAGATGGTGCGCACATGAGAGCTTGAAGTCGACGGGGTGCGTGGGTGGACTGATCATCTACCATGAAGTCTTGTTAAAGGTGGAGCTGGATTGAGGGGCTACGGCGTAAGAGCTCAGAGAGTCGAAGCCTATTCAGCTGGAGAAAAGCGAGTGACACGTAATTCGGACTGGAGCCCAGTGGTCTGATGGAAGCGTGAAACTCGTCATCGGTCGGTGATGATCGGTGGTACTCTGCAGTAGGGGTTGAGTGGTGTGGGTTCGCAACCCTTGAGAATCGACCGGGACAGCGGAGGCTCGACGCGGAAATAGCGGCGAGACGTGCGGCGCGCACGGGGCATGGAGACGGGCCAGGGCTCTGGTGGTCATACATGTGGTGACACAACTGCGAATTTGACTCGGGATGACTACAAACAATGGTGAAATTCCTTCAAGTTTCAGACAGGCGGTCAAGAAAGGAGCGGTGATGTTGAGTTCAGGTAACTCTTATGTGTGACACCCAATATGTGAGTTGTTCACTTTCACGCAGGTCAGTGATCAGTGTGTGATGTCGTTGGACGGATACTCTGGAAGTTGGGAGCACAAGCTAGAGTAACAAGGAACTTGATTTTGCTCGAGTGTTGACTGTGGTCAAGAAAAGAAGGGACTACAAGTTGCAGGTGGAGTCATATGGAGTCTTTGGAGTAGCAGCGGTGCTCATGGGATAAGC